TAAAACTATTAATGATTTCAAATAATAGTGATTTAAAATTCAAATATTAATAATTATAAATAAAAATATTGATTCTAAATAAAAATATTAATGGTTTCAAATTATATTGATTTCAAATTAAAATATTAATGACTACATATAAAAATATTGATTCTACATAAAACTATTAATGATTTCAAATAATAGTGATTTTAAATTCAAATATTAATAATTATAAATAAAAATATTGATTCTAAATAAAACTATTAATGATTTCAAATAATATTGATTTGAAATTAAAATATTAATGACTATAAATAAAAATACTGATTTTAAATAAAAATATTAATGATTTGAAATAATATTGATTCTAAATAAAAATATTAATGGCTATAAATAAAAATATTGATTCTAGATAAAAATATTATTTCAAATAATACCGATTTTTAAGTTAAAATATTAATGACTAAAAATAAAAATATTGGTTTTAAATAAAAACAATAACTGTTTGAAACAAAAATATTGATTTTAAATTAAAACCTTACAGATTTGAAGCGAAAACATTTCAGATTTTAAATCAAAACATCCCCTAAATACTCCGCGGGCACAGACAGGAATCCACCCCATCCCTCCCACAACGTCCTGGGAATTCCAGGCTCGACTTCCCACACGGATCCCTTCCCACAACCCCCCCCGAGCGCCCCAGATCCCGGTTTTCCCGCCCGGAATTCCCATGGGATGGTCCCACCTGAGCGTGTCGAGCAGCCGGCGGGCGATGCCGCTGCGGCGCCGCGGCCCCAGCACCCAGATCCGGCTGATCCCGCACACGGCCGGCTCCGGATCCGCTGAGCAGCGCCAGGCCCGCGGAATTCCCTGCTGGGAATCCGGGCTGGGACACGGGGCCGGCTCCGACAGCACCCGGAAGGCCTGCGGGGAACCCCGGGATCAGCCAGGCCGGGGGGGACACAGCCCGTCCAACCCGGCCTGGGGCAATCCAGGGATCCAGGGGCGGCCACAGCTCCTCTGGGAATTCCAGCTAAAGATCCTCCCCACCCTCCCAGCCGGGAATCCCTTCCCAATCTCCCATCTAACCCCAGGAAAACCAGGCACCTGCATCCCGGTTTTCCCGTGCTTGGATATGGGATTGCTCCAAGACAAACCCTGCCAGGCTCTTCCCTTCTCCATGGGAACCATGGAAACGAAGGGGAGGGAAACCCCAAAGTGATGGGAAAAGGTCCATCCTTGCTTTTTGGGGATCCCAGAATCCTGGAATGGTTTGGGTGGGAAGGGACCTTAAATCTGATCCCATTCCATGGGATCCCATTCCCTGCTGTCCAACCCGGCCTGGGACACTCCCAGGGATGGAAGGTGCTGCTTGGGATGACTCCAACGTGGATCTCCCACTTTCCCAGCAGACAAGTGTCCAGGGCCAGGTTGGACAGGGCTTGGAGCCCCCTGGGATGTTGGGAGGTGTCCCTGCCCATGGAATGGGATGATTCTTTGGGTCCTTTCCCAGGAAAACCCCTGGCCATGACCAAAGGCTCAGTTTAAATCCCAAAGAAGAGCTTGTTCCTCCTTCTTTCACCTCCCACCATCCCAACATTTTCCTCATCCTCCTGGAATTCCCCTCAAAAAATGCACTGGGGGGGATCAGACCGGGAATGAAGTTGGATCCCTGAATTAGAAGGACAAATTCCCGGGAGAAAACGGAAATCCAGAACCCTGGAATTGTTCAGGCCTTTCCTAAAAATTGTAATTCCAGAACCCTGGAATTGTTCAGGCCCTTCCTAAAAATGGAAATCCAGAACCCTGGAATTGTTCAGGCCCTTCCTAAAAATGGAAATCCAGAACCCTGTAATTGTTCCGGCCCTTCCTAAAAATGTAATTCCAGAACCCTGGAATTGTTCCAGCCCTTCCTAAGAGTGTAATTCCAGAACCCTGGAATTGTTCCAGCCCTTCCTAAGAATGGAAATCCAGAACCCTGGAACTGTTCCGGCCCTTCCTAAAAATGGAAATCCAGAACCCTGGAATTGTTCCGGCCCTTCCTAAGAGTGTAATTCCAGAACCCTGGAATTGTTCAGGCCCTATTTTGGGAAGAAGTTCAGAGGTTATTTGCGATTTCCTGATGACTTTTGGGACTGTGATTTCCTGATTTACACGAACAGGTAATTGGGGTTAATTAATTGGGGTTAATTAGTAATTAAGAATATGTAATTGGGGTTAATTAGGTAATTAAGACGTGCCTGTTTGATGGGCTCGGCCAGCAGACAGCCCACGACCATCCTCTCTCCGCACACGAACAGGTAATTGGGGTTAATTAATTGGGGTTAATTAGGTAATTAAGACGTGCCTGTTTGATGGGCTCGGCCAGCAGACAGCCCACGACCATCCTCCCTCCGCACACGAACAGGTAATTGGGGTTAATTAATTGGGGTTAATTAGTAATTAAGAATAGGTAATTAGGGTTAATTAGGTAATTAAGACATGCCTGTTTGATGGGCTCAGCCAGCAGACAGCCCACGAACAGGTAATTAGGGTTAATTAGGTAATTAAGACGTGCCTGTTTGATGGGCTCGGCCAGCAGACAGCCCACCACCATCCTCTCTCCGCACACGAACAGGTAATTGGGGTTAATTAGTAATTAATGAGGTAATTAAGACGTGCCTGTTTGATGGGCTCGGCCAGCAGACAGCCCACGAACAGGTAATTAGGGTTAATTAGGTAATTAAGACGTGCCTGTTTGATGGGCTCAGCCAGCAGACAGCCCACGAACAGGTAATTGGGGTTAATTAGGTAATTAAGACGTGCCTGTTTGATGGGCTCGGCCAGCAGACAGCCCACCACCATCCTCTCTCCGCACACGAACAGGTAGGTCCTGCTCCGGGCCGGGCAGCCCAGGGACACCTGCTGGAATCCCAGCTCGTTATCCACGATCTCCCGCACCTCCTCCGCCTGCAAAACATGGAGCGGGCGGGAATCAAAGGGTGGGAATGCCGGCAGGAAAAGGGGGTCCTGC